ATCTCTGCCTTGGCCCCCTCCGCTATGGCTTCGTCCGGAAGGTCATCCAGTCTAATTAGCATATTATGCTTTTATTATTATAGATTTATTCACTTACTTGTTTGCCTTACTGGGGTTGCAGTCTAAGGCAACTGTGATATTAAATACTTGTGACCTTTTTCAAAAGGCACCTTGGGGATAGAGCTGTTTGAGTGAATTCTGACTCAGGACAAACTGACCAATGCTGTGAGTGAGACTTCCTGGGAGCTGCCAGGCAGATCAGAGAAGTGCAATTCTTTGGGCTTCTGGGGAACCTCCAAACATGTAATGTCCTCCACCTCCCTGCCCCATAGTTGCTAGCCTCTGTGGTTGCAAAGATGTTGTTATCAAGGCTACCATGGAGCTGGGGCATAGGCAATGGGAATGGTCAAGTTAAAACACCATAAATCTTACTGTTCTTAATGAGATTCAGCCATTTTTCTTACGTGAATACTGTTTCGATTCTTGTGAACCTTTAGATAACGTCCAAGGCTCTTGAAAAGTTGATTTTGACAGTTTTTCCTCTGTTATCATTGTACTGTGGAGGATGGATTTTTATCAATTTTTGAGAGAGAGGTAAGGAGGGAGGGAGGTATGGAGGGAAAAATGATGAGAGGGGAGACACACACATACATACACACAGAAACACACACACACACACACACACACACACACACAGAATTTTATAGTTCCACTTACTTATTCATCCATTAGTTGATTCTTGTATGTTCCCTGTCTGGGGATCAAACCTGTCACTTTGGTGTATCAGGATAATGCTCCAACCAACTGAGCTACTTGGCCAGGGCCATGGATTTACAAAGATATTTAATCCACCACATCTATCTATTTTAAATTAGTGTCTCCCTTGGGAAGATGAGACTAGAAACATATGAAATTGCCCAGTGCCTAATGGAGAGGGCAGGACGCACAGATTGAGTTGGGATAAGGGGCTCTATAGAATAGGAACAGGAGACAAATTTTGTCCATTTACATAAATTATTTATGATATTACAGTAATAAATAGCCATAGAGTGTATATGTTCTATAGGTGTTCTGTAGATTCTCTTTATTTTACACAGCACCGTGAGAACATTTACAGTCTAGTTTTCTATCTCAGAGCAGATGTAGGGAAAAGGAACACATCTTAGGGGCATGTATACTAGGACAATTGGCAGTGAGACAGATTTACCTATAAAAGTTAGAAATAATAATCAGCAGGTGACAATGTAACACACTGTAGTACCCATTTTTCTTTTTTTAAATTAATTTCTTTATTGATTAAGGTATCACATATTTGTCCTCAACCCCCCATTCCACTCCCCCACCTCCCTCATGCTCCCACCCCCTTTTTGTCCTTGACCACTGGTTAGGAGCAGCACCTATTTTTCACAGGCTTAGCTAAAGAAGTCAAAATGCAATGCTCATTTGTTCTCTGAATTCTTTGCTTTTTAAGACACAGAATGCCTAAATATTTTAGAAAGTTCCCTATGAAGAATGTTAAGGTTTGAATTTAGCATTATAGGCTTCATTTACCTACAATAATTATGGCCAAAAAATATCACATACCCAGATGATATTGCTAATGGGACATTGGCCATAAATTATGTTGAGCAGAAAGATTCTGTAATCATTCATCTAAATACACCATAGTAATTCCAGCTCCAAGAATATTCACTTCGAGAAAAATTATTAAGCCTCTTAAATGTGGAAAGTTGAGCCACATAGGTCACTGCTTATATTAACTCCTTTAAGTTTCTGAGGAGAGTTCTTCAAGTTGAGTTACTTACACTAATTAGTAACACAAAAATATATGAAAATATAAAATAGCTAGGAAAGGTAATTATATAGTCAAATTCAGAATACTCTAATATTGTGATATGATGATGTGTTAGTCACTTAGTTCTAGTATAAAGGCCAAAGGAAAAAAAAGTATTTAAAACTATAGCTACAATAATTTATTAATGAATCCACAGTATAAAAGAGGTAAATTGTGACATCAAAACATAAAAAATTGGGATAAATAGTAAAGGGTAGAGTTTTTGTATGCAAACTATTTATTATCAGCTTAATATATACTGTTATAACTATAAGACATTTTACATAATCCTGTGCTAAACACAAAACTAATAGAAGAAACATAAAAGAGGATCAAAACATACTTTAGGAAAAATCATCCATTCACAAAGAAAGAAAGCAAAAGAAGAACTAAGGAACAAAGAAACTGAACAAGAAAACGAATAAGATGGCATTAATATTCCTTACCTATCAGTAGTTATTTTAAATGTAAATGAGTTAAATTCTCCAATCAAAATTCAGAATGACTGAATTAGAAGACAAGAGCAGGTATATGCTACTGTAAGTAACTCGTTACAGCTTTAAGGACACACATAGACAGAAAGTGAAGGAATGGGGGGAAAAATATTTCATGCAAAAAGAAACCAAAAGAAAGCAAGAGTAGATATCCTTATATCAGACAAAGTAGACTGTAAGCCAACAACTATAACAGGAGACAAAGAAAGTCATTATCTATAATAATAAAAGGATAATATGCTAATTATACTGAACATCCTTCTGGGTGTCATTCTGGATTTCCTTCCAGATGAAGCCAGGGCCAGAGCGAAGCAGCCCGGGTTCCAGGCACCTGATGGTGGTGGCCAGAGGGAAGCCTGGGTCCCAGGTGCTGGATGGAAGCCAGTGCCATCAGCTGCGGGGAGAAAGGCCTACTCTTGCACAAATTTTCATGCATCAGGCCTCTAGTATAATAATAAAAAGTCAACTCATCATGTGGATATAATAATTATAAATATATATGGATCTAAAATAGGCAGCAGCTAAATATATTAAGTAGACACTAACAGATCTGAAGGGAGAAAGAATAAAAAAGTCCTGTATAATAAAAGGGTAATATGCAAATTGACCCTAATGGCAGAACAACCAGAACTATTGCTAGACCAGTCACTATGAGATGCACTGACCACCCCTTCGTCCCTTCCCCTGGCCATCAGGCACCAAATGGGGAAACAGAGGTAGGTGGCAGTGGGGGTGGGACTGGCTGCAGGCAGGCATCTGGGGAAGGCCTAGGGACCGTACCCGCACATGAATTTCATGCGCCAGATCTCTAGTTATATAATAATAGTGGAATTCAGCATTCCTCTTTCAACATTGGATAATTCATCTGCACAGAAAATCAATAAGGAAACATTGGGTGTTAACTGTACCTTAGAAAAATGCACTTAACCTATAAATACAGAACATTCCATTTGTCATCAGCAGCATACACATTCTTCTCCAGCTGAAATAGAACATTCTCTAGAATAAATCATCTGTTAGATCACAAAACAAACCTTCACAAATCCAATACAATTAAAGTCATGCCAAGTATTTTTTATGACCACAGTGGTATGAACTAAAAATCCATAAGAGGAGGAAGACAAGAAAATCCACAAATGTGTTGAAATTAAATAATATACTCTTAAACAACCAATAGGTCAAGAAAGTCAAAAGGGATATAAAAATACTTTGAAAGAAGAATGGGAACACACCATACTAAAACTTATGAAAGGCAACAAAAGCAGTTCTAAGATGGAAATTTACAGCTATAAGTGCCTACATTAAGAAAAACAAAGCTCACAAGTAACCTAACTCTATACCTCATGAACTAGAAAAACAAGTACTAAGCTCAAGGTTGGCAGAAGAAGGAAAATAACAGACAGGATAGAAATAAACAAAATAGTGAATAGAAAAACTATTAACACAATGAAACAAAAAGCTTCATTTTTTGAAAAGTTCAGCAAAATTGACAAACTTTCAGCTATCCTACATAGAAAGAAGATCCAAATAAATGAATTCAGAAATGAAAGAGGAGACATTATAATTAACACAATAGGAATACAAAGGATTATAAGAGACTACCATGAACATCATATTCCAAAAAAGTTGGACAATTTAGAATAAATGGATAAATTCCCAGAAAAATGCAACCTCCCAAGACTAAATCATGAATAAAAATTTGAACAGAACAATAGCAAGTAAGGAGATTAAATCAGCAATCAAAATCCTCCCAACAAAGAAAAACCTAAAACCAGATGGTTTTAACTGATAAATTCTACCAAACATTTCTAAAGTAATGCTGATTACTCTCAAACTCTTCTAAAAATAATTGAAGATGAGGGAATATTTCCAAACTCATTTTATGGGCCAGTATTACCCTTTTAACAAGCCAGACGCCACAAAAAAAGAAAAAAGAAAAATAGAAAGCTACAGATCAATTTCCCTGCATATAGATCCAAAAAAATTCTCAACAAAATGCTAGCAAACTGATTTCAATAGCATATTAAAAGACTCTTAAACCATGATCAAGTGGAATTCATCCCTGGAATGCAAGAATGGTTCAACATACGCAAAGCAATAAATGTGATACACCACATTAATAGAACAGAAGATAAAAACCAATGGTCATTTTAATAGGCACAGAAATTTTTTAAAAATCAAAATCTTTATAATAAAAAGCTCAACGAATTGGGTATAAAAGGAATATACCTCAATATAATAAAGGCCATATATGACAGAACATTTTAATAAAGATTGTAATAATGTATCAATATTGATTCATTAATTGTGATAAATGACAATAGGGAAACATTGGGGAAAGTGGGTGTGAGGTATATGTGAACTCTACCATCTTTGCAACTTTTCTGTAAAAATAAAATCATCCTAAAATTTAAATATCTAATTTTTAACAAAAAAAATATTTAAGATGCCTGGCCCCATTTTTGTTGCAGGTCTTTTCTGAGAGAAAAAGATCATGATGCTGATGTTCTTGTGTCAAAAATTATATCTGTCTAGATATGCGCATATACCAAACATCCCTATAGATGTCTTCAATAGTGGTGAATCTGGTGGCCACTTTTATAAGATGAGCCATTTAATACAAATGCAATTAGCCTATTTTGATGTTAACAGTGTGTCATTTCTTCTTGTAGCGTCCTGGCCGGTTACAATGGCACCATCTTTGCATACGGGCAAACAGGCAGCGGTAAGACCTTCACCATCACGGGTGGGGCAGAGCGCTACTGCGACAGAGGCATTATCCCAAGGACACTGTCCTACATTTTTGAGGAATTGCAAAAGGTATAGAACTATAAGTTCATTTTGTATTTGATATATTCAGCAGAAATTTATTGTGCGCAAAATAGTTATTTTGACATTTATTATATTGTATCAAAATGAGAAAGTATTATTGTGTAATATTTCTGTCCTTTAGGTTGAAGGGGAGTTTGGGAATTTGCTGATGAAGTGGAAATTGAGAAGGTGCCTCTCATTAAAGAGATGCTGTTCCAGCAAAGGCTCAGAGGGAGTTCCTCTGACATACACATAGGTTAAAAGAACAGACAACACGTTTTACAACTAATGTTTTTTTTATTCTTCATTAAGAAACTGAAGAATGCCCTTTTGCCAAAACAGAACTTTATTTTAGCTGCTAAAGCACTGTATAGGACAATGTGATTGTCCCCTTATTACACTTTTAATAGAAGCCCACAGGAATTTACTGGAATAAAAGTCCTATTGCAATTAATCTACACTAATAAAAGAGTAAGATGCAAATGGACCATACCTTCACGACACCCACCAGCCAATCAGGAGTGAGTATGCAAATTAATGCAATGAAGATGGTGTGTTAATTTGCATATGCAGGTGCTGAGCTGGTGGGAGCGGGATGTGGGGGTGATGACACAGGTGTTCTGCACCACCCCAGCCATTCCAGGCCTCTAGGCAGCATGGGAATGTGGAAAGGCAGCTCCAACCAGAGCAAAGCAGTGTCAGCAGCCAGAGTAAGAGAGGCCCATTCTTACACAAATCTTCATACATTGGGCCTCTAGTATTTCTATAAAGACAAATTCCCTATCTATATTATAAGCATCATTTATTGTGTGGCTCCAAGTGCTACTTGCTTTATAAGTATTTAATACAACATATAATACATGTCTTTCTCTGGGTCCTTGTAAGTAGCTGATCTGGAGGTCCATGCCAGGAGTGCGTGTGCTTTTTGTCTCAGCACGCTGCCCAGGCTGGATCTGCAATGCTGGTTGTCTCTAACACACCCTCTACTGTAGGGGTGTCGAACTCAATCAGAGAAGGGGCCAAAATCTAAAATCCAGCCTAAATCGCGGGCCGAATGGTTTACTGAACAGTCATAAACTGTCATTGTGATGGAAACGCAGTGGAGTGCAGTGATGACAGCGCGGTGCGGGCCACATTGCAAGGCCTGGCGGGACGGATTTGGCCCGCGGGCCTTGTGTTTGACACATGTGCTCCACTGTGAGCCCCTTCTCTGGGCTTCTGCTCTCTCTCTGGAAGCAGGGAGCGAGTCGTACTAGAGCATCTCCACTCTCCCTAGCAATTCCAACAAGTGCTTGGTTGTCCTAATTCTGTATAACCATCGTCCTAACTAGGTCAGTGTAACAGTCATCGAAACATTTCTCAACTGCACGCTGTTTGCATTTTAAGTTGCAACAATGAGAAGAAACCGCTGAGATCTGCATAATTCTAGTTTCCATCCATAAAGTAGCAATTACCCATTAGTTCAGCTCATCTCTCACTAGCTCACACATTCCAACTCTGCATGCCAGAATATTAGGAACAGAAAGAGTTGACTGTAGTGTATATGTTGGATCCAAGTCCCTTCTTTTCATTTACTCATTTATTTCTGACATTGGCTGCTTTGTTTTTTCCCAGATTTCACAAACTGGGAATATGATTTGTCGTGGTGCTTATTGCTGTGCCTGATGTGGAAGCCTAGTGCCTAGGAGAGGTCATGGGAGTCGGTGCAGGCCAGCCTGCTTCTACTGGCAGCAGGCGGACCTGGGTAGTTTCTTAAAGGTCCAGGATGTGGGGCTTCTCTGAGGGCTGAGCTTACTGTGCTTAAAGACATTGCCCAGTTCTTGGCACATAGTAGATGCTCAATACGTGATTGTTATTACTGCAGCTGTCAATATCCACATACAGCCGGTCCTCAGATAATCTCCTTCAGCAGGTACATTATAACGCTGATAGATGCCAGAGGAACTTAACTCTTGTTTATGTCAATTGGCCTCTGGTACAATTGGTTTAGTTATATGTCTTTTCTCTTAAAGCCACAGAACCTAATGATGACATGGAGGATTTCTTGTGCTATATCTGCATATAGACAAAATATCCCTGACTAATTTCAAATAATCCTTTGAAATGCAGAACAAATAAAGCTATTTCCCCTGATGAAGTTAAACAGAATAAACAAACCCTTTCCTAATAGAAAATATATGTCTCTTTGTAAATTTTGTCTATGGCTATCAAAATACAAAAAAAAAAAAAAATTATATACAGTTCTAAAAGTCTACCTGTCTCCGCAGAACCTGCCATGTGTCAGGTTCATTGTTTTATGTGTTTGTCATTGGCAAACTCTAAATCCCATTTTATCCTGAGTGATCCTGAGTTTGGAGAGCGGCCATTGGACCAGTTTGCAGCCAAGACAACTCTCTGGAAATGGACAATTTCCACGATGGGAGAGCAGCACGGTCGTTGTAATCTAACTAAGCTGTGGTAAAGCAAGGCAGAGGCAGCTGGAGGGCATCACACAGTGTCCAGAAAGTGCAGCCAGGACATGCGGCCAGGTGCTAGGCTGTCCCCAGTCATAGCCTTAGAGGCCCCTGAGTGCTTTAAGATCCTTGAATAAAACATTTGACGTATGCAGCATATTTATTCTGAGATAAACTAAGAGCAAGTACATACCGGGCCTTAAAGTGCCTGTGAGAGCACATTCTCAAGAATTTTAAAAGAAGAAAGTTGAGTCCATTATTTTAGAAATCACTGCTCATTCTTTTAGAGCACTGTGAGGCTCAGGCTTGTTTGGGGCCGAAGAGAAGGCTGTCTGCAGGCAACATGTGTGTTACATTATAATCCTGAGCACTGAGAGTGGGGCCTGAGGAACGGCAGCTCCCACATGGCTCGGTGAATTCTACTCCAATGAAAGCCCAGAACTGCAGAAGCTGGAGGCCAACCACGTTATCCTGTCACCTCAGGCCGTGGGCCTGCCGTCTTCCTGACTTCTTCTCATTGCTTCTCACTTCTGGAAAGAGAGAATTTCTCCACTATAAATGGGACATACAAGTTAGCTTATATTTCTGCCTCTTCCCCTTTCTTTTTATATTAACATACTGAACTATCCACTTAGAAATAATCAAAATAATGACAACACCATCAATAACAGCAGTTTATTGTAGTGTATTATAGGCCAGACATTTTACTTGTATTTTAAATACAGAGCTCTATTTTTCTCACAACAGATCTGCAAGATAAGGGTTACTATCTCCATTTTCAACTGAGGATAAGGGTATAAATGACAGACCCCATATTTAAACCTTGTCTTTTGTTTGATGCTATGAGTTCAGAGGAGTATGCTCAAATCTCAAACATAATCTATGGAATATTTAAGATATCTTCAGATAAGTTTTAGGAAGATGTTGCAATGGTCTATAATGTGCTCTGAGAATGTATCTTTTTGGTGGGACAAAAGTGGGTTTACAATTGTTTATATGGAAAATAATACAATAATGTACACTAATAAAAGATAAACATACAAATTAACCATCACTCTGCTGTGCCCACAAGCCACAACCACCAGCCAATCAGGAGCAAGTATACAAATTAACCCAACCACGATGGCGGCTGGCAACAGAGCTGGAGCAAGCAGGAGGCTAGGGTTGCCCCAGCAATGGAGGAAGCCAGGCTTCCTGCCCACCCTGGCCTCCACTCAAGGAAGTGCTGGAAAAAAAAAAAAAGGAAAAAGAAAAAAAGGAGAGGCTGGGACCTTGGGTTGTCAGGCGGGTGATTAGGCCAGGATGGGATGGCAGGGGACATTAGGAGTAAGCAGACCAACAGGGGGTGGGGGCAGTTGAGGGTGAGCAAGCCGTCAGTTGGGGTCAGTCGGAGGGGATCAGGATAGCAGGGGGTGGGGGGTGGGGGTGGGGGCAGTTTGGAGTGAGCAGGCCTACAGGGGAAAAGTTGGGGTGAACAGGCCAGTGGGAGGGGAGGTGGGGACAAGCAGGGCAATTGGGGGTTACCAGGCTGGCACGGGAGGCAGTTGGGAGTGATCAGGCTGGTGGGGGGGATATTTGGGGGTGAGCAGGTCAGTGGTGGGGGGCAGTTGGGGGTGAGGAGTCTGGAAGGGAGAGTGGTTAGGGGCAATCAGGCAGGCAGGTGAGCAGTTAGGAGCCAGCAGTCCCAGATTGTGAGAAGGATATTTGCTGTTTTAGGCCCAATCGCTGTAAACCAGCAATAGGACATCTTTCCAGGGGTCCCAGGTTGAAGAGGGTGTTGGCTGGGTTGAGGAACACCCTCCCCTCCCCCTGCATGAATTTCATGCACCAGGCCACTAGTTAATAAATAATAATGCAAGAATAAACTCTATTTCACATACTCACAACTGTACACCTACTTTTGCCCTCCCTGTATATGTGGATGATGGATCAGTTTTTCCATGAGTATTTCATGGAATATTTTAGGAAACACACATGAGAATAAAGGCCACACAGCATGTATCTAGTATTTATCATCTCTGATGCCTGCACTAAGCCAAACTTCAACCCAAAGGATTATGTTGGAATGGTGCCTTCCCTGCACTAGGATGCTAGTGTAACTCATGGATCACTTGCAGGAGAAGCAACTAGAGACTCCCACATGGGTTGTGTTTCCAACGTGCAGTTGGGAGAAATTTTTTTGCTTGGAGATTCAGTCTATACAGTCACCTTCACAGAGCAGGAGAACATGAAATTTCAGCTGTGGCTTGAACATTTTACTACAGTCATGAGCTGGCTGAAATTTGCTTTAATTTTCCATGTATTAGTTTGTTTTAGTGAAATAGTGGTATCTTTATTTCAGTAGTTTGAGCCATTTCAGGACCAGAGAATTGTGTTAATTTTAATGTGAAGAGTATGTAGGAACTCATTACCCAGCTTCCTTACTTTAATGCTACAGCAACTGAGGCCTGACCTAGCAGGGCTCACAGCTGGTAGAAGTAGGACTCCAGCTTCTCTCCCTATCTCTGCGACTGGTCCTCTCTCCCCTTGAATGACGCCTGGTAAACGGGTTGGCTTGGATGTGGGTGAGAATTAACCAGGAAGGTCGTCTTAAGTAAACCCTCTTGGAATATTCACTACAACCTCCTGACCTCTGGCACAGGCGCAAACATGTTCCCTTCTTACAACAAACAGGTGCTGTCATTTATTATTTTTTTTATTAAAAACTGAACTCAGACATTTCTCCAGAGCTGAAAAATCCTGTTTTATTCCACTGAAGTGCAAGAGGGTTTTGTTGTGTGTGGGTATTTTTGTCTGTTGACAGAGCTAAGACAAGAACCACAGAATCAGTCCCCTCAACATTTTATCCTAATTTCATTGAACCTATGCCATTGCATTTCAGCATGGCCCACAGAAAATACCCCTCTCTATTCAGTAGCAGAACAGTCCTGATTTGCCACTTGGGCCAGAAAAATTAACCAGGTAAGGTACAGGCAGTGGACTGGTAATGTCCACCCTGTGATTACCTACTTGACCTAAACCATTCCTGTCCCCTGAATTAACTGTACGTTAGCTGATTATTGTCCGTGATCTATTTATGTCGTTAGAAAGTTGGAATATTAGAAAAGTTTAAAAAGACTTGTGATTACAGATGAAAACTCTTTTGCTACTGAAGTTTTTAAACCAAAGTAGCAGTTCTGTGTTCTTTATGAATATCACAGAATGTAAATTTGTTTTTTCTTAGTAACCTTTCTTTTTTTGGTCTGGAAAGTAAAACATGGTGCTATAGAGTTCTGCAACCACGTCAGCTAATTGTAAATGTGTATTGCCTTTTAGGTATTACGTGGAACCAATACAAAGTAACAAACTGAAGTTGCTTGTGATCATAGGTATTGGCCATTAAAAACAAAACAAAAAAAAAACCAAAAAAAAAACTTCGTGCATATGGTAGTTGGCAACTTGAAAGTGTCACAAACCAGAAAATGTAAACCACACATAGTGAGAGAAACTGTGAGGAAGCTACACGATGGACGCGTTCGTCTTCCTCTGAGCTGAGCCGTTATTAGAGCCATTAAGTAACGTCTCTCCCTTTTCCTCTCAGGACAGCAGCAAAATATACACCACGCACATCTCTTACTTGGAAATCTACAATGAATGTGGCTATGATCTCTTGGATCCAAGACACGAAGCCTCTAGTTTGGAAGACTTGCCGTGAGTAGCAGAACAACAAAGAACGGGGAAAATTACTTTCAGATGTTTCCTGTGATTGTTTTCTCCGAAACTTTTGCATGTTTCTGGTCTCCGTTGTAATTAACAAACACTGGGTAACAGAATCTTTTTGTAATATAATGGATGCTTTTTCACTAGGGATAGGAACTAAAAATAGCTTAGAACTCACTTCTTGGGAAAGTCTCTTGGAGTTGGTACAGGGAGAGCGGCGAGTGTCCTGGGAGTGTGAGCTGAGAGGATTGATGGGACCAGGCAGTCCCATTCTACTCCTGCCGGATAAAACTCTCCCAATTGGCCTTTCTCTGAAGGCCAGTGGATCTGTTTTTGTTCAAATTAGGCTTCCAGCAGCAATGAGAGAATCTGAAAGAGAGAAAATGCCAGAGGAGCAAAAAGAGCTTTTTGACTATTATTTTATTATATTACTAACAGTGACAACCATTTGGTCACGATTGGCACTGATGGTTTCGTGACCCAACTATAAATAGAGTCTTCAGAGCTTATCTAATAATAGAGTAAGTTATCCTGCCAGCATTTCCAAAACATTACTCACTGCTTGTTTGAATATCTGCCTAAATTAGACATATGTTAATTGGTAACTGCATATACTTTGCCCAGACATCTTCATATATCAGAAGATGCCAGAGCCAAGAAAGCACACTTTAATATTCTTCTTATGAAATATTCTAAAACAATTTAAAAATATATTAATCCTCTACCAAAAAAGATCAGCATACAGTTGTTTAATTTGTAGACCATCTTTATATATGTTCTCCCATTAGTGTTTGAATGTTTTTACATATCACCTCTTTTGTGTTTATAGTATTCATTAGAGAAAGTTAGAAAAGGGGATGTTGGTCGGTACAATAAATATTTGTATAAGAATTAAAAGAAAGGGGAAAGAAAAGGATTGGAGGAAGGAAAAAATTACTTTGTGAAAGAAATTGGCCTTAAAGAAACTGTTGGAATTACATTTACAAAAAGGTAAAAGTTTCCTATCACTATTAAAAAAATTATCCACTATATTACAAAAAGATTCTGTTATCCAATGTTCATTAATTACCATCGCCACCAGAAAGAGTGGCTTCACACACTCCTGACCTGGGAGCAGCTCTCACTTCAGTCCTGCCTGTCTCGCTCCTGGTTTCATCGTTGTGAGCTGACATATACCCAACTCTCTGGGTACCATCCAAAAAGGTGAAACTGTCCTCGTAGGAACAACAGCATTAAAGATACGAGGCGAGGTTGGAAAGGCCAGGTGTTGAGGATTTGTGTGAAGTAAAGGCCAGCTTCTGAGGGACTCGGACCAGAGGCTTTGGTGAGAGATTTCTCTTCATTTTCACAGGTGACTTAAGTTGTTTTCCAGCTCCAGTCCAGCCTGTATACCTCCAGTTTACCCGTTTCTTCCACCTCCACCTCTGGCAACCCTAATCTGTTCTTTTTGTCTATGAAAATTACAACACAAAGAATTACCCCTATGTAAATTATGGACCTATAGTTAACAAAACAACAATAACAAAAGGAATGAATTACTGATACATTAACAACTTGAGTGAATCTCCAGGGTGAGTGAAAAAGCCATTCCCAAAAGGCTAAGTGCTGTATGATATTATTTATTATTTGCAAATTTATCTATAATAAAAACATTTATGTAATATCGTTAAATGGCAAAGTTATAGATAATAGATTCGTGGTTGATGGAATTAGGGAGGGAAGTGGGGATGGCTCTCCAGGCCAGTGCAGGATCCTTGTGGTGATGGGCTATTCTGTGTCTTGACTGTGGCTGTGGATACACAAAACTGCCTACGTGACACAAATGCACACAAGTACAAGAAAAACTGAAACGTCTGAATAGACCAGTGGGTTGTGTCAATGCCATTGTCTCTGCATTATATCTTACAGCTGCATGTGGACCTACAATTATCACACATTAAAAAGTTAAGTTAAAAGTAATTGCTCCTCTGTCAAATATTAATTGACCATAGAGGCATGGGTTGATTTCTGGGCTCTCTGTTCTGTTCCACTGATCTATATTCTTGTGCCTGTACCAGGCTGATTTGATTACAATGGCCTTTGCTATGGTTTGATAGCCAGTATTATCATCCCTCCAACTATGTTCTTCTTTCTCAAGATTGCTGAGGCTGTTCTGGGCCTTTTTTGGTTCCATATAAATTTTTAAAATATTTTTTTTTCTAGGTCTATGAAATATATCATGGGTATTTTAATAGGTTTGCATTGAATCTCTAGATTGTTTTGGGTAGTAGACATTTTAATGATATTAATTCTAACAATCCATGAGCATGGTATGTGCTTTCACTTATTGGTATCTTCCTCAATTTCTTTATTTAATGTCCCATAGTTTTACCTCATTGATTCAATTTATTCCAAATACCTTATTTTGTTGTTGTTGTAATAGTAAATGAGATTATTTCTTAGTTTCTCTTTCTGATAATTCATTATTGGTGTATAGAAATGCCATTGATTTCTGGATATTTATTTTGTATCCTGCTACTTTGCCAAATTCAAAACAATATGGAATTTCTTTAAAAAATTAAAAATGGAACTGCCTTTTGATCCAGCAATCCCACTTTTGGGAATATATCTTAAGATTCCTGAAACACCAATCAGAAAAAATATATGCACCCTATATTTATAGGAACATTGTTTACAATAGCCAAGATCTGGAAACAGCCCAAGTGTCCATCAGTAAATGAATAGATAAAAAATCTGTGGTACATTTACACAATGGGACACTATGCATCTGTAAAAAAGGAGGATCTCTTACCTTTTGCAACAGCATGAAATAAGCCAGTCAGAGAAAGACAAGTACCATTTGGTCTCTCTTATATGTGGAATCTAATGAACAAAATGAAGTGACAAATTAGAAACAGAAGCATGGATACAGAGAACAGACTGACAGCTGTCAGAGAGTAAGGGGGTGGGGCAGACAGAATGAAAGAAGGTAAAAGGGAATAGCCAAAAACTTATGATAGTGCATAGACATAGATAAGAATGCAGTGAGGGCCAGAGGCGGGGAGGGTAGGTCTGGGAGGAGGGGAACAAAGAGAAGGAGGAATGGGGGACATATGTAATAATGTCAACACTAAAAATAAAATATAATTTAAAAAAGTAATTGGCTATATATTTGTATATAGAGAGATATGTATATACACACATATGTGTATTAAGTCTATTCTTTATTTAAATGAAAATAGAACCTCTGATTTTGAAAGCTCTTTATATCATATGCTATAAAAAGAACATAGTTAGAATCTAAGTGTGTCTCATGAAGTAAAACAGTATAACTGCTAGTCTCAACTGTAGGGAAAATATCCACCTTACTTTGGTGTAATTTTAGTATTCCCAAATAGGGACACGTATTCCATTTAAGGTTCCAAAGTTGGTCATGGTTATTATTGTCACAAAGAAAGTCAGTAGACTTCAGAATCTAGTATTGAAATCTTGGCTGTGTTGTGTTTTTTAACTAATTTGTCATCAAAAGAAAAAAAGAGTTGACATATGTTAAATTTAACTCACCAGGTTTCTAATGCCTAATCAATATAAAACACTGCAAAGCGCCCCAGGAGTTACACAAAGGATTCACTGTTATCCAGTAAACATTTCTTGAGATCCAACTCTGCTCCACACACTGTGCTGGGCACTGAGTTTACTGACTTGGTCTTTGCTTTCCTGGAACCCATCGAGTGGGCAACACTAGTACAGAACAGCTTAAGGAGGAATGTGAGCAGCATCGTAAGAGAGGCTCCAGAATGACAAGCGCTTACATGAGAAAGAAACCACATCAGGTTGTGCGACCTGGGAGAGATTCATGGAGAAGGTGACAGGTGAAGTAGCCCCTGAGGGGGCATAGGAAGGGCAGTGGGTGTGGCGTCCATGTGGAAACAAGGTAGGGAAGTTGATGTGTGTAGCTCATTCTGTGACAGTTATGGACCTGTGGGACTGGGACCAGTCAGGGAGTAGGTGAGAACAGTAACAATGGAAGGATGAGTGCGAGGATTGGACAGTCAAGGTGTTGCTCTTCGAAGCCTGAGCAGCATCAGTCAGATCTTTGGTTTCTGATGACTAATTTGCATCTTGGGAAATGTCTTCAGCTATCCAAAAACTCAATCTGAAATCACAAGGTCAATTGTAATCGACTGAATGATACATAGACTAACTTCTATGAACGTTTCAGAGCAGGGAGGTAAGTATGCTGCCTGCAAATCTTCATCACCTGGTCCAGGTGATCTCTCTGATCTGTCTAATGCGACCTTTCCTCTTAGTCACCTAGATTTTGTTCTAAAGACTCTTCCCCACATGTCCTCTCTCTAGGCCAGTGGTTCTCAACCTGCATATGAGATATTTACATTACAATTCATAACAGTAGCAAAATTACAGTTATGAAGTAGCAACAAAAGTAATTTTATGGTTGGGGGTCAGCACAACATGAGGAGCTATATATTAAAGGGTCGCAACATTAGGAAGGTTGAGAACCACTGCTCTAAGTGGACTCAGCACTGCTCCCACCTCAGCAGCACTGCCAGCTCTTAGCTCAATCAGATCTCTGGTCTTGGCATATGCCAGTAAAATTAGGAAACCATTGAGGGTCCTGGGAGCAGAGACACTGGTGTGAAAGGACTGGACTGGGCTATGACAGAATAATGATTGGTTGATGTGGACTCACATTGGTTGATGTGAGACTATGGCAGCTCTAAGTCATCTGCATGCCTTCTCCAGAATATCATGTAGCTATAATCACACAGTATGTAGCCTTGTCACTTAGTAACATCCATGGCTTACTAGCTCACTTCTTTTTAATGTTGAATAATATTCCATTGTTTGGATGTACCAAGTTTATTTATTAATTTACCTACTGAAGGACATCTTGGCTGCCTCCATGTTTTTTAAGTGATGAATACAGCTGCTGTAAACATCCATGTGCAGATTTTTTGAGGACATGGTTTTCAACCCCTTTTGGGTAAATA